TAATGAGGATTTCATCTCCTGACCAGAACACCTTCCGTGATACTCCACATTCTAACCCCGCTGCATTGAGGAATTAAGTCTCAACATGAGTTTTTGGTGGAGGCAAACCATCTTAAAACCATGGCAACAGGTAAATGCAATCAGCACATTGGGAGTGGGTGGAACACGCCACCTTCAAGATTTAGGCAAGACTGATTCAAACAATCTCAGACCAGTGGTTCTAGCCTGGCTGTCCAGTAGAATCCACCTGCTATAGAGCTTTTAAAATGCTGATGCTGAAGCGCCCATCTCTAGAGATTCCGATTTAATTGGTCTGGAATGTGGCCTGTGTTTAATTTATTTTAGAAGCTTGCAGGCAATTCTAATATGCCCCAAGCCTTCTGGTTCATATTTCCAGCCCCTGAAGAATTCCTGGTCTTCTCTTGGTTCCACCCCCCGCCCCGCATACCCTGAAATGCAGAGTGCAGCCTTTCTCCTTGATTTCCTCTCCTAAATGCCCCTCTGCCTGCAAAGTGCAGTGAGGCCAACTTGCCGTGGAGGGCTGGAGAAGAAGCAGGATTTCCTCCTACCATAAAGGGACCTCTCTCTGTCCTGTGTCTTTCACCACTGGAAAAAGGAATTTGGCAGTCAGTGGATCACTGCTGGCCTCAGGAAATCTCAGGATACCACCAGCCCTCAGCAGAAGGGGGACATGTACCAGTTTGCTCATTGCTCAGATAAGGGTTCAAACTGCCTGAAACTGCATGCTGGTCTGTTGCTGCCCAGAGAATACCTGCAGCCTAACGTGCATGGGTGTCAAGGTACCCACAGCTAGGTAAACTAGCATCCGATCTGAGAATCCAGGAACCCGAGGGAGGAAGTCCAAACTGACAAACCAGAAGAGTGGGCACTACTGAGGAAGGAAGAGAACCATAGCAAAAAAAAAAAAAAATTATCAGGGAGATGAACTGATGGTGGGAGAGGATTGTCAGGACCTGAGAAATCTTTTCTCAGTTTAAAAATTCAGCCAATGAACTCAAAGAAAATGATCACTGCAGGAAATAAGTCAATGTCCTGAGAGTTAAAGTGCATGAAAAATCTCACCACAGTGCAAAACCAGAAAGAGATTTGGAGGACAAATCCGGGGATCTAACATTCAAAGGAGAGGGGCTTTTAGAAAAAGAAAAAAGGAGGGGAAAAAAAAGAACATATAAAGGAAAAACAATAATTGAACAATTAATTAAGGAACATTTTCTGAGCTGAAGAAAGCCTTGATTAAAGAGGCTGATAGAGTTCCAGGAAGGATTAATTAAAAAAAGACATAGACAGACCCTGGTGTAATTCCTGAATTATAAACTTCCAGACAAAAAGGAGGATTCCTTACAAAGGGGAAAAAAACCAGGTTAATATAGGCTTTCTTAACTGCTGCCTTGGAAAATGGAAGACCTGAGAGTGGGCACTGATTTCACTCTTGAAGGACAAGGACAGTGACCCAAGAATCTTATTTCCACGTAAGGTATCATCTACATATCAGGGCAATGGCAAGGGATTGCAGAGCAGGCCAAGTCTTGTACCCTGTCTAAGGAAAAAACTGGAGAAATGCCATACCCCCAAATCAGATGAATTGGGGCACAATAAGAGAAACCAAGTAATGACCTGGAAGTGGAATTTGGAATGAGGCTAGACACTGGGATGAAGGAGAGGTGGAGCTTGGTATAGAGGAAAGAGCAAGGTAGGGCTTCTTTCTATCTTAATGAACCACAAGAAAAACATCTAGATGGGAGGGTGGTTATTTGAAATCAGTATATCTATGTGATAGCTTAGGAAATATGTTCACAAATTCTTTGATGATCTTCTCTTCAAGAGATGGAGCTTAATTTCTCTTTCTTAGGAATTTGGGGGTACCTAGGGACCCACTTTAACCAAGAGAACCTAAAACAGTAATTAAGTGTGAACAAGAGTAGGCGTAAAAGTCACCAATACCTCTCTCTTTGTCTCTCTCACACATCACTTGATCCATGTTGTGAGCAGCCCCATGGAGGGAGGTCCTTGAGACAAGGAACTGTAGCCTCTTGCCAACCGCCACATGAGTGAGCTTGGAAAGGACCCTCTAGTCCCAGTCAAGCCCAGATGACTGCATCCTTGGTGGACACTTGATTGAGGCTAATGAAAGACCCTGAGCCAGGACTCTTCAGCTGAGCTGCTCCAGGACTCCTGAAATTATCAGGTAACTAATGACTGCTATTTTAAGCTGCTACATTTTGGAGTACTTTGTTACACAGAAATACATAAAATATACTCAGCCATAAAGAAGTATGAAATTATAGCATTTACTGGTAAATGGATGGAATTGGAGACTATCACGCTAAGTGAAATAAGCCAACCCTCAAAATCCAAAGGCCAATCCCAAAGCCGAAATTTCTCTTTGATATGCAGATACTGACTCACAGTAAGGGTGTCAGGGGTGGAGGGAAGAAGAGAAGTTCTTTGGATGAGACAAAGGGGAATGAAGGGAAGACAATAACTTTCCTGTGTTCATATATGAATATACAAACTGTATAGCTCCACATCATGTACAACCACAAGAATGGGAAGCTATACTCCATTTATGTATAATATGATGAAATACTTTCTATTGTCATGTATAACTAAAAAGAACAAATAAACAATTAAAAAAGAAATATAATAATATCTTTAAATAAATAGAGCTTTCTACAATTGTTAGGGAGAGAAAGGTAACTGTTCTGGGGGTGAAAGTATTATGGGATTTTTTAAAAGAGTGGTGATAAACCTGAGGCAGCCAGCAGAAGATGGTAAAGAGGAAAGAGGAAAAATAACAATAAGTTGGTAAGCATAATATAGAAAGTATATACTAAAATTAGTAAACATAAAATTAAATTCAGGTAGTTTAACATAATATATATCATCTACCATAATAAATTGGGAATTTTCTGACTGGTATTGTGGCATATGCCAGTAACATAGTAACTCTGGAGGCTGAGGCAGGAGGATTGGAAATTCGAGACCAGCCCCAGCAACTTAGTGAAACCCTGTCCCAAAATAAAAAAATAAAAAGGGTTGTAGCTCAATGGTAGAGTGCATCTGGGTTTAATCTCCAGTAGTGAAATAAATAAATAAATAAAATTACAAATTTTCCTATGAAATTAGAAAAAAAAGAAATTCAAGTAGATTCTATTTACAGAAGATGCATCAAAAATAAAGATACAAATTAATTGTTGAGCAAAGAGATACCAGAAAAAATCAGACAAAAAGCAAGTAAGGTGACAGTTCGATTATCCATCAATATGGAATTCAAGGGGTAAAGTATTGAACACGACAGAGAAGGAAATTGTGAAACTTGGAAGGACTATTCACTGAGAAACTAAAAACCTTCATAAACACATATGTACCAAACAATTTGGTAAGCAAACACATAAAGCATAGGACTCTTCAGGTAAAATACAATTACAATAGGATGTTTTGATACAAAGGGCAAATGATATGACATTCTGTTATTCAAGTCTCTTCAGTTAAGAGGTTGCTTTGGGAAACAAGAGTACTTCTAGTACAATAACAATGACAATGATGATGATAATAAAAAATAACACACACTGAGCACTTAATATGTGCTTGTCAGATTCTAAGCACTTTACAGGTCTTAATTCTTGCAGTCCTTCCCACAAACTGTGTGTCATGATTATTACCTTCTCTTTGACAAAAGTGACTGTAATCATCATTCTTTCCACCTTTGTACACACAACCTTTGCAATATGACTTTACTGTTTCTCCTCTTAAGCAGAGAAATCTATTTTTTTTTCGCCCCGTGAATCTGGTCTGGCTTTGTGACTTGCTTTGATGATGGAATGTAGTATAAGTTACTTTTTGTGACTTCTGAGCTAGGTCTCAAGAGACTTTGCATCTTGCATTCTTGCTTAGAACACTTAAACATTTCCACCATCATGTTAAAAAGGTGAGTTCAGCCTTTTGAAGACTTATGATCCAACACCAATCACCAGAGGTGTGAGTGAGCTGTCTTAGATCAGCCAACCCTGGTTGAGTTCCAGATGACCGTGGCTGCATGAAGACCAGCAGAGCCTAGTCCAAATTGTTAATTCATAGAATCATGAGAAAATAAAATGGTGGTTGTTTAAAGTTTTGGGAGTGATTTCTTTTGCAGAAGTAGATGACTGATAAACCCTCCCCATTTTGCAAATAAAAAAAAAGATAGACATAGAGGGGTTGAAAAAGTTGCCCAAATTTTCATAGCTGATTCACAGTTTGAATTCAGGTACCAATAAACTGAACTTTTACAAAATTATTGTCTGCTCAAACATCCCTCCAGGTTACTTGTCTATCCCAAGCAAATGTATCAATACTTTTGATGATCAGCCTCTCAATGATTGTAGAAATAACCACATAATACATAATTATCCAAGTTAATTGCAAATGAGACCATGAGTTTTGAAAATAGTAGTGTATTAGGATGTTTTAAGAAGATATATTAGAGAATTGCTAGGTTACATGCAAAACCACTGACCAACAGAGATTAGTAAGCAACAGGGAAGTCTTACCAGAAATATAAAGGAAATATTTTTAAATGGTTTTATTATTATGACAAAAGTTGTAATTGCTATCCAAAATTCATTCTCTCTTTCTGACTGGAACCCATTTTTGCTCAGAGTGATGATGTGCTCAGTTAAAAATTCTCACCTCCCATACTCTTTTGCAGTTAGGATAACCATGGGATCATGTTTTGGCCAATGAGTCTGCTTGTGGGGCTTCTGTGAAACTTTTCCTGATAAGTAAGGAGGAGACGAAGCTGTCTTAAACATTTTTCCCCCCTCAGGTCCAGCCTGCTTCTTTGAATCAGAATGTGGGTATGATGTCTGGAGGTGTAGCAGCCACCATAAGAAGGCAAGGAGAAAGAAGCAACTTAAAGAGAGTAGAGCCAGGACCTAGAGGAACTGAATTTGCAGTTCTTTCCATAAGCGACAGCACTGGCTCAACTGTTTGACTTTGGATTTTTTTTTTTTTGTCATATGAGAAAAATAAGTGCCTATTTTGTTTAAGTTTCTAAATTGGGTTTCTGTAGAGTGCAATCCTGACTGCAAAGAATTGAGAGGCCCTTAGGACAATAGCTAAAACCATAAATTCCCTTTTGCAAAACATAATAGTATTGCCAAAGTCAAATGTGAACCGGGGGTTGTCTTGTCATGTTATCACACGATTTTATAAGATACATTATACTTCAGAAAGTCATTATGAGGTTTATTGTTTTGTTGTTGTTGTTTTGATACTGGAGATCGAAGCCAGGGGTGCATAACCACTGACACACATCTTCGACCCTTTTTATTTTTACTTTGAGACAGGGTCTCCCTACATTGTTTAGGGCCTCACTGAATTACTGAGGTTGGCCTCGAACTTGTGATCCTCCTGCCTCAGGCTCCTGAGTTGCTGAGCTTACCGATGTGTGCCACTGTTTTCAGCTGAGGTTTATTGCTTTTATGCAAAGCAAAAACTTAAAAATAAGAAGTATAACAAGTATAGCATACATATGGGAAAGTATACTGAATTTATATTTATTTTAAAAATTGTTACATTTTTACATTTTAACCTAAATTTCAGTAATATTGGATAATTACTTTTTATAATATTTAGTTTTACTTCTCAGTATATAATAGCAGTAAAGTCTTTTTGCCTTATGAATGAAATTTTGCCCTTCCTTCAGTAGATTCACTATAAAATGTTTTCTTCTAGTACAAGTGTTCTTGGATAATGATGATGTCCTATGTCTTCCAGAAAACAGAAGATCTTAGTAGACAAGATTTGAACAGTTGAGTTAGGAGCTTAGTTTAATTGTTATAGGTTTTACTCTGTAAGCAGAGAATATCCTTTCTTCTCTTATGTTCCCCGACATCAAGCATGTTCTTGTCCACAAGCAAAACTTTAGACAGTCTCAGTAAAATCAAGATTCTACATGTCATAGTCTCTGATCATGTCTCAGCAAAAACAGAAGGCAAGAGTTTAAAAAAAAAATGATCTTCCCCCCAAATCATTAAGGAATCACAAAGGAACTACATCAAAACCTAAGGGACACAGATAAAGCTGCAATCAGAGGAAAATTTACAGTACATAAATTATTTGTCATTAAAAATAAAATGAGAAAATTCCATTTATGTGTTTAACTTAGGAAATTAAAATAATACAAAAGGACACACAGTAGGAGGGAATTAATAAAAGTAAATGTTGAATATAATGAGACAGAAAACAAAATAATATAAATAAACCCAAATATGATGCTTTATTAAAAAAACAATTAATTACATGGACTCCCCTCAAGGGAGTCCTTTCTTTTTCAAAGGAAAGGAAAAAAGCAAAAACATTATGAGAAATAAGAAAGTAGTTACAGGGGCTAGGAGTATAGATCAGTGAAAGAGCGTATGGGAAGTGATCAGTGAAAGAGCGTATGGGAAGTGCAAGACCATGGTTCAATCCTCAGAACCAAAAAATAAAAAGAATAATTTCTAGAAAAACATACATTATCCAGGTTGGCTCAATAATAGGTAGAAACTTGTTAGCAGATAAAGAACCATAAAAGAGTTGAAATGGCAATAGATGATCTGCCCTCAGAAGGACAGCTTATTCCACATTGTTTCAGAGAACCTGCCAATGCAATAAGAGAAGAAAATGAAACAAGTGGCTTATGTGAAAAAGGAGACCAATACAATTCCAATCACTCAGGTCCTCAAAAATGCCCAGGCATTGTGGCATAGTGAGAATGTGTGTTTCTCTGTCATTGGTTCTTGGGGCTTCAGCAGTGCAGCCAGCTCCTTGGCACTTCAGCCTTGGCTCTGTGTGATTGGGGATAGAGAGGTTTGGGAGTGGGTTGGGGAGATGGTCAGAGGTCTTCTTGCCACCCCACAGCCACAGTCCAGCATTTCTAGGAGAAGGGATGCCTACTACAGGAAGGCATGGGCACCCAGAATCCCTTCCCTGTCCTCTCCGGGCCAGTGTCATGGCCCCTGACATATCTTATGACATATTCCTCTCCCCCTGCAGGCCACTCATGTAGACCCCCAACTCAGGGAAATCTCTGAAGGGTGGGAAGGAGCTTCCTTCCTCAACCCATTTTCTCTCTTAAGGGATTGTATTTTCCAAAGCTGGAAAAATACTTGCAGCCTTCTCTCTCTGGCTTCTTTACTGAGATGATAATGATCAAGGAATGGCCTAGCTGCCCGCATTGGGGGAGGGTAGGAGAGGATGGGGATGGGAAAATAACAGGTGGAGGGAAAAACATGGGTTAGTATGTAAAACTCTCCTGCCACAGTTTTAATTGTAATAAATAATGTTCAGTTACTCTGCAAAATATGTAGCAATTTATCCTCCCATCAACAGTGACTGGGGTAGGTGTCTACTGCCCCATATCCCCACTAGCTCCGAATGTTGCTGCTCTTTTGAATTTTTATTATAGTCATGGATGCTGTCTTCATTTGAATATTCCCAGCACAGGTTTTTTCACATACTTATAAGACATTTGCAGCTCACCTTGTATGAATTTCTGGTCCTATCTAGGTCCATTTTTTTTTCTATTAGGGTTTTGCATGTTTGTTTTCAATTTGTAGGTGGCCCGGTAAAGAGGTCAAGAAGGCCTGGTAAGTGAGGCTGAGCAAATGAATAGGACAGATCACAAAGGGCTGAGCTTTTGAGTTCTTCCTGAAGCAAGGGGCAGATCAGATTGACTGAAAGACCCAAGGACTCAGGATCCCACAACCTGAGGATGGTTCAAGATTTGGGGATGGGAGAGAGGAGAACTATGCAAGATGGGGGGGCAGATCAGCATTATGGTTGGGTGCTCAGAAAAAGAAAGTAAACAATGAAATAAGTGCAATAAAATATAATAAAAAGTAAAATGCTAATGAATTGAGAAAATATAAGACAAAGGCACCATGTCCTGGGGTAAGACATTTCATGTTTCCACACCCTGTCCTGTGCTTCCTCCCTTTCCAGGTCCACAGCAGTCCTGTGAGTGTGCATTAATATTCCTGTTTAACCAGTGGTCCAGGGAAACCTAGAGAGGCAAAGTTACCCAGTGCAGAAGGAGGAGTGACAGAGCCAGGAATGACTCCACGTCACTGTCTTTTGTATTGTTTTCCTTCATTATACAGTGGTATAATGTGGAGGGTTGGTTCCAGGACCATCCTGGGGTATCAAAATCCCTTAAATACCCCCCCCAAATTCCTTATATAATGGTGCAGTATCTGCATATAACTTTTGTATCTCCTCCCCATACTTTAAATCATCTCTAGATTACTTCTGATACCTAATACAATGCAAATGCAAAGTAAATGGTTGCTGTATTATATTTTTTTTGGGGGGGGGATGTCAAGGAAAAGAGTATATGTTCAGTGCAGATGAAGTGGGGGCAGGAGTATTTCCCATCTGCAGTTGGTTGAATCCACGGATGAACTAAAAGATACTGGGAGCCCAAAGCATGGTTTTACTTCATTGTTGATTCTTTCCTAAGCGCTAGAGAATAAATGTGTTCAACTGCAGATTTCACACAATAGGTTCCCTGTATGGGCTACCAGTGAAGCCCTAGCTTCTGATCCTAGGCCTTTGGGCCTGGCTGACACGCCCTGAAGTCTGGTGGCATGTGGCAGCCCCTGGAGCTGCACATGCAGCTGTGGGGTCCTCCAACCTATCCCTGTGTTGGCTGCAGGCTGAGGGAGGCAAGGACTGGGCACAAGTGCACAAGGCCAGGTGGGCTTTCTATGGCATTATCGGTTTTTGTACCGCTAACCTTGAGGTACTTATGCTTTAGCTCCTTAAAGGCTACAGCAGGAACCGCCCTCCTCACTTTCTCTGGCTTTCTTCCTCCATCTTCCTCTTGGACTCCTGGAGTGCCTGTGACTCCTCGGGGCTTCAGTTTCCCGGTCTGGAGTCAGGCTAGAGGGTCCCAGGCACCCCTGACTTCTCGGCCCCAGTTTCCTGTTGCAAAGGATCGTTTCCCCTTAGCCCCAGGTAAGTTCTGGCCCCGGCAGTGCATTGCTCTGGATAGCAAATGGCCTGACGAGGCCTCCAGCTGCCCGAGGTGAAAGCCTGGCTCTCCGTTCCTTTCTCTGCATCCCAGACTTCCACAGAATCCACCCCAAGTTAGCTCAGACTGTGCCCGTGGCTGCATGAGGCCTGCACCCACTCTTAGCCAAGCGCATCATTTCCAGCACTCCCGGCCGGGTCTGGGCGCCATCGGGTATGGGGTTTGGTGGGGGCCCAACTTGAGCCTTGGAGCTGGGAGACCTCAGGCAGGGTCGCGCTCTGCCATCTGCCACTCGTCTGAGCCAATTTCCTTGGAGGTCGAGTGAGGTGACAGATCCCCCGCCCTCCCTCTCAGGCGTGAAACTAGAGGTGTATGAGCTGGGCTGGCCAGGGGGTCGGCGCTCCCAGGGCGGCTGGCGGGCAGGCGAGCCTCTCCTCCCTCTCCCGCGGGGGGGGGGGCTGCCCCGCGCCCGGTCCCCGCGGGGGTTGATTGCTCGTCGGGCTCCCCCGGCTTCAGCCCAAGCCAATCAGCATGCTAGCGCCGGGAACAGCATGAGGCGGCGGGCCCCAGGAAGCGGCGGGGGCTTCTGGGCCGACTCTGGGGTCCAGAGTTTCAGGGTGCAGGCACCTCAGGTCCTGTAGGCGGCAATCCTGCTCCCAGGGACGCGCCGCGGGTGGCCTCCACAGGCCGGTGCCCTGGCCTGGCTCCCTCCCAGAGGCCCGATCGCAGGGCGTCTGCTGCCATCTGGTGGCGGCTCTCGAGCAGCTGCGGCACAGCGCGGGGAGGCCCAGGGCCTGGACCAGGGTTTGCGGATCCCCCACCTAGAGCCTCGCAGACCCGAGCGACAGGAAGCTCAGCGCCTCCACCTCCGGTGCTGTTCGGGATTTTCCAGGGAGAACGCGAGTAATACACGTCGCCAAGGAACATACACAGTGGTTAGCGCTTGGGTCAGGCTCGCCACACCCGACTTGGGTGGTTTGCGGCAGGGCCTTTTACTTTTCGGAATCCCATTTTTCTCATCTGTAAAGTGGGGTTAGTGGAAGTGCATTCCTGGAGGCTTTGCAATGATTGCCTGGGCGTATGCATGCGAAGCTCAAAGCACATGGCAAGACCATGTCTAATACTTAGCTGTTGCTCCCCTAAAACCCCATGGGGACCACCTCAGACTCACCAGGGCAAAATGCGGGCGATATCATGGATTTTCTTTCTGTTTTCCCGTCTGTAAATTAGGGGATGCCAATGGGCTTGCCTCTACTCCCAGAAGAGGTAAACAGATGACTCAGCCACTCTGTGGACAAATCTACCTGGCGTCGTGGGTCTCCTGGGCCTTCCACCCGCAGGCTCCCAGAAGATGCCCTTCTGCAAAGACTCTCAGCTGAGCCCAAACCTGGAAGCTGTCCCCCTGGCCTCAAGTTTTATGGGCAAGGCTCACCTTCTGGGTTACAGGGGCCTGAGTAGCTTTTTTGGGAAACTTCTCTACAGAGTCACAGACTAAAAATCCCATTTCAGGAATTGTTTCTCTGACACTTTTCAAACAGAGATCCTATCCCTTTTATAAGATGATGGTAGATTTAAGGAAAATAAACACCCCTTTAAAAAGAAGAATTTATTTGGATCTACTGTCCCTGAGACCCAGAATGGCTCTTAATTTTAGGAGGCATGCAACTTTAATTACCTCTGAGTATGCAGCAAGAGGTGGCCCACAGAACTGGGTGTGACAGCCAGGTACATTCGAGGAAGCGAGATGTCTCAAGCAGCTGCTGACGCTGCTCTGCCTGTGAAAAACGTAGGCTCCAATTCAAAGGTATCAAATATTTGCCTAGCTGTTCAACATTTCTTCAAATAATATACTCACTACTAATTCATATCTAGACTCGACGTCTTCATCTCTCTCAGGCCTCCCTCCTGGATTAGCTGTCTTGTCTATTCTGGGAGAAACTTGTCCTACATTCTAAAAATAGGCTGTGAAGCCCGGACACTGGCATGTACAGTCAGCAAAGGCTTTATTTATTTATCTTGAGAGCCGTCCTCTGGGGACAGCTGCAATGGAGCCTGGAGACACACTCATCAAACAGCCAGTTGTGGGTGTTCAGGTGCATAGAGGAAGCTGGGAAGTCTGTGCTGGCTGCTGCATTCCAAAAGAGAACATGGCTGGGTGGAGTGCGCATGCTTGTAATCCCAGCAATTGGGGAGGCTGAGGCAGGAGGATCGAAAGTTCAACGCCAGCTTCAGTAACTTAGTGACCAAGACCCCAGCAAGTAAACAAGATCTTGTCTCAAAACTAAAACTGTGAAAGAGCTGGGGAAGCTGTGCTCTGCTCCCAAGTGTGCCCTTTGAGCTTTGAGCTTATAGTATACAGGTAAAGGCCTCTCTTCTCCACCTATGGATCCTTTTCCCCTCAGCATTAGAAGCCTAGGAAATTCCTGTATTATCTAGGTTCTAGCAGGATTTAAGGGATTATTTACAAAGAGGGACCTTGGGAGGAAGGGCAGAATCTCTAGGTCTAGAAGCAGTAGGGCTGTTCTCATTCTGGGGCTGCAGACCAGGTGAGGCATGGTTACCTGAATCTGTAGGTCTTAGGTGGCTGCAGAGGAACAGTGACCTTTGGATAGGGACCTGGGATTTGGCCACCCTAACTACACTCCTGTTTCCCTATCCCATCTCCTGTCAGGGTCAACCCACTCACAGAGCAGAATGAAACTTCCACATGGGGAATATCTTTTCTGTCGGGGGAAGGTACACAGAGCAGGTGGAGAAGGGTACAGGGGGGTGTACAGGGTGGAGGGGAGATGGACAGCTCCTTCTCTCAGCTCCTCCCCACTACCGTCTACTCCTCTGTCTCTGAGCCCTCACTGTTCTCTCCCTGTCTCCCCATCTCTGTCTCTCACTGCCTCACTTCCCTCTTTCTCTCTAGTGACCTCCTTCCCACTTCTCTGTGCTACAAAGGAGCTGGGGGTGGGTGTCATCCCCCTTTCCCAGGTGACCTGGTCACACTGGAGCTCAAAAGGACTCTCTGGTGTTGCCTGCCACTGCCAGAAGAGGGGGGGCTGTGAAGCCCTGAGGATGACTTCATTTGATTCTCGGCTTTTCAGTCTCTGAGCTGCTCTAAATGAAGCCAATCAGGATTACTTTCTTTTCATTACTTCAAGGACTTCCTTATCCACCTCCTTTCATCCCTAACCCTGCTTTGGCCTGGAATTAACAAGGAGGAGTTAGTTCCCTGCTCCTGGCAGCTCCTCTGGCCACTGTCAAGCCCTTATCCAGAGCTCCTACTGTGTGCCCAGCCGCAGAAATGATTTAAGGGTGCTAGCACACAGTCAAGATGGAGACAGGAGGGGTGTGCCCACAATCCATTCACTCAGTAACCAATTCATTCAGTCCCCTATTCAATCAGTTGTTGGACGGGCTTCATGCAGGGTCTCATGCCAATCAGGACATAACCAGGTATGTTTGTAGCAATGAAGGGCCCAGTCTCATCTCATGACAAAACAGACAGGAAGGCTATGTTACCTAGGGGAGAAACCCATTTGAGTGGATAAGCCTCAATTTCCCCTTTCATTACACAGAGATGGCAATTCATATCTCACATGATTGCATAAGGATAATAAAGCTCACAGAGCATTGCTGATATTATTAAGTGACATGGACTTTGGCCCTTCCTCCTTACCCAACATACACAAAAGGTCTAACTTTTTGAGGGTGGAGTGAGAAGGCAACACAGAGAAGGGGTGTGGGTATAAACTGGAGACACCAGGAGGGGCTCAGGCACCTCCTCTGGAACAGACGTGGGCTTGGACCTCCAGCTTCAGCTCTAGTTTGAAAATTGAATAAGATAATCCACAGAATGAATATCTCTTCTGTGAAGAGCGTCCATTTGTGAGGGAACCCTTAGTAACAGATCTCATCATGGTACAAAGAAAATCCTGCTCTCTTAATCTTGGAATGATATATACAGCCAGCTAATGCAAAATGAATTTTCATGTTATTTTTGCTTATTTTTAAGTCCATTGGGTGCAACGTGGCTGATCGCTGTTCTGACATTTTTCTTCCCTCATTAAGAAAGATGCCCCTGGTGTGTTACCTGTGCTGGGCCCAGAGCAGAAAATAAATATCGCTGGCATCCACTTTCCTATGCTCTCTGGGTGTAATTAAGAAAAAGGCACCTGCCAAAGAGCAAAAGAATAGAGTAGAAAACGAGCGAGTGGTACCATTCATAAGAACTAAGTCTTTAAAACCATCCAGATGTCACCCCTTTGGTGACATCCTTCCAGATCAGTTGGTGAAGGATCCATCTTTGAACTTTAACACTTCCCTTCTGATACTTCCTTTCTATTGCAATTTTGATTTTCTCCCTTGTACGTCTCTCCTCCTTGCTATACTGGATGGTCTTGTTCTTTCCTTTTCCCACCACACCTGTTTTTCCTTTGGGGGACTCACCGTTCAGTGGCAAACCAAGTGATTTGGATAGAGGTACCCTGTGCCTCAGTGGAGGAGGGGGCATGTGACTGGCCAATGAGAGGCGAGAACCGTGGGCTGACCCACCCTGATTGGCTCTGGACTGGGCAGTAGGATAAGCTGAACGAATCCGAATGGGTCTCAGCGTGTGAAGGGAACTACTTCATGAGGAGCTCTCCTTGTGGGAAGTCTTTCTCAAGCCTGGAGCTACCGTCATCTTGACACAACTGGGGAAAAATTGGGAAAGAAACCAAATTTGAGGACAACCGAGTCGATCATGACAGTGAGTTTTAATGTCGCGGTTGGAGTCCCTGGGTCCACTTCTCTGCTGACCTAAGTCACCCCCCTAAGGAGCTGTGGAACCTTCCGCTCACTCCGTTTCTAAGCCCTGCACTGCCTCTGGCTGAGGAAGCTCCAGAAAAGACAACGGTCCCCTTACCCTGGGTACAGGGGTCCGCAGTCTGCTTGGTTTTCAATTCCCAGGGACTGGTGTCACAGAATCCCAGGGGGATTCTGCTAGAGGCAGATGGGCCAATTTGGCCCTTTCATCGTTTTAATGCCCCAATTTCCTATTTTTTTTTTTTTGGCCCTTTCGTCATTTTAATGTCCTAATTCCCTATTTATAGGTGGAAATGGGCCATACATGGTACAAGAGGCTTCAGTGAACTAAAGCCCATGGTACTTCTTCCTGGAAGAACTGACCCACTCTTACCTATCCCTGGAAACCCTGTGTGCCTACATCACTTCATAATTGGGTTGGTCCACTTGATTTAGGACATATTTGTCATCTTCTCACTAGACATTTGTCCTTCACCTTTGGAAAATGTAAAACCCTTTTCGGTCTGAATCTCTCATCTCCACTTTGACCCTCTTTTTCCTTTCTTCATCTTCCCCTTTTTCCTTCCACGACTTTCAAACTGTTCATCAGACAGTGAACATCTATTAGGCCCTGAGCATATACACACTCCCTGTCAGGCTTCCCTGACATCCACTTCCTGTGCAACTTTAGTTTCCATGGTTATTCTTTCTCAGGGTGCACTGTTCTTCTCCTTCTAGCAGTTCTCATGGTTTATCATTGCTAAGTGTTTGTTTGTTTGCTAGATTCGCTGCTGTCTCTTTACAGTCACTATCACACTCTTCACACCATCAGCTCTAAAAAGACACATACTTTGACTGTGAACATCTATTAGTCCCTGGGCATGTACACCCTGAGTAGCAAATTCCACGCCAGCCCATTTAACTGCGCTAGAATGTAACTCAGAGTTTGGCACCCAGTTACCCTTCAAGAAGCATCTATGGAATGACTGACTGGGTGGGTGTAAGTGTGCCAAGCCCGGGCCCCAGGACACTGAAGGAGAACCAAGCACAACCTGCTCTGGAAACTTCTCCCAGGAGGCTCAAACTCTAGTGGAGTGAAATGGGATGGGGGTGGGAAGCCAGACCTCCAGAGCGCTGTGGTGTGAAATGTCCCATGTGCAGATCAGAGACATAGCCCAGAGCTCTGAGAGGCAGGCATCAAGCCTGCCTGCCAGGACTGTTCCTTGGGTAGATGCTGGTGGCTGAAACACAGTGAGTTCAGCACAACTTAGAAATGAGAGGACAAGAAATTCTCTCCAGTGCTTGAACATGTTCATCATCTCCTGCTTTGTTCTCTCGTCCTGAATTTCCAAGTTGAATTTGAGCTCCCTGGGGCAGGGATGGGCTGTGGTTTCTCATCTGCCACACATCATTTGGCACAGGATTGGGCTACGGGCAGGCATGTAATAAATGCTCACTGTCATCCATAAGAAATGGCTTACATCTCCACCGTGTCACAGTGTCCCATATGCAATGTCCAATTTCAGATTTGGGGTGGGTGGGGGATGGGCAGGGTAGCCCCGTGGACTATTTCACATCAACCCAGCTCCATACACAACAAAGGAGTGACATTTTCATGCCAAGAGTTCATTTTAGTTGTCCCTGTGTTATTTACAGAGACTCCTGGTCTTTGGGTTCCCAAACATGGGCCTGGCGACAGAGGAGTGGTATAGGGCTTTAGTTATGGGTTATAATTCCAGCTTTACTACTTTTTAGTGAATGGCATGAGTAAATCCCTTAACCTTTCCCAAGCTTTCTTCTTGCACCTGAGATATGGGCATACAAGCCACGGGAGTTAGAGAATGAGGGAAACACTTTGATGAATAATGAAGAACACTGTGTGAAATCATCTGCATGGCTATCCCAAGCCCTGGGTAGAAGGCACCTCTGCCACCTCTGGAGTTCTTTGCCTTGATTGACGCAGGTAGCAGCTGCCTTGTGTCAGTGTTAGCGGAGTGTGGGGCTTTC